ATACATACATACATACATACAGGGTAAATTCATTCAGTCCTTCATTTATTCACTTACTCACTCATTCATTGTCATTCATTCACTCCGTCATGCATGCATTCATTCATACGTGTGTACGTACGCCAGGACTCTCAACCGAAAGAACAGTTACTCATCCCAGATTTCAGGCCACGCCCTCGTTTGTACACAGTGGAAGCAGCCCCGTCTCAGGATGGCTCTGAGCCGAGACCTAGTTCCACAAAAGTCAATCTGTTTGAGGTACCTCACTACATAGCTGGACCTTCGTACTGCTGAGATGTACGAAAGGCACGGATCTAATCGGTGAATACGGATGATGCATGCAGAACTCGATGCAGGAATTCCCTGCTCGACATCACCATCCCTCAAAGGTTGTGTTTTCCGCGCCGCCGCAGATGTTTGGCAGCCTCGGACGAACCCGATTCCAAGCGACTTGCAAGCCCCAAGGCCGACAGACCTGAAGCCATCAAGCTCTGAAGGCCCTGAAAAATTCAAAAAATCGAGTCTCACCAACAACAACAGCAAAATCAGCATCAAATGGTTACAAAGGGTCGCTTTCAGGATCCCAAGAGCGGAACTAAGGGAAGAAAATGCAGTCTTTGGTATGGTACAGCTTCAGATCTAAGCCGCATAGTGCCGAGGCCCTGCGTCGAAACCCTTTTTCTGTCACGAACGTCATGCCTCCTTTGGCTCAGGGCCCAGTCTGACAATAGAACAGCAATCACGATGGCTAGCATGAATAACTGGTTCCCCGTGCTGCTGTCTCTGGCAGCTTGGCTGCAAAATACCGTTATTACCCCTGCTCGTGCTACTGTTTGCCCCCTGTCTTGGAACCTGCAAACCCCAACCCCAAAACACGCAATCCAAAACAAAAAGGACAAAAATTTCAACAGCCAAAACGCTAAAGAACCAACCAACTCTTTCTCTACCTCTGCTCCTGACGCCGAGTGTCTCCAAGGACTGCGCGAGGAAGCGCAGCATGGCCGGGCGGAGAGACGAGCCTCGACCGGCTGCGAGGCTTAGGACCCAATGATGGCTCGGGGTTTAAGGTTTAGGGTTTAGGGAAGTTTAGGGTGTGGTAACATCATGGGTGCTCGCTGGTGTGTGCTCACCCAGTTCTCTCGCACCTGTGCATAGCAGACAGCCCACCCTCAGACTGCCGGCCCCTCGGGCACTTCCCACGGAGTGACAAAAGTATAAACCCTAAACCCGAGGGCTTTTTTGCCAGCACATCCTTTCGACAAGGGCTTTACGAGCCCTGGCAACAGTGGCCGAAAAGGAGCGGCCATTGCAAAATACCATTTGTTGGCTTTTGTGGTCCCCCCCCCCCCATTTGGGCGGCTCCCGGACATCCTCTTGACACGGGTTGCACCCCCCAACCCTTCACGACTGGGACCGGCACCCGCCAATTACAGAAAGCCACATGAGAACCAGCCAGCACAGCCTCACAGAAACCCAACCCAGAAATCCTTGAAGGTAACGACCCGCGTCGGCGATGACACAACCCGCGCTGGGATGCCTAGAAGACTTTCGAACTAAACCCGAAACTGTTTGAACTCAGGGCATGCGTGGTGCCACTCCCCTAGCTTTACCTAGGCTCCATGTATGCGACTTCTGCCGCTCGTGAAGCTCGGGCCGCTTCGGGCTGCGCGGTGGCGGTTGTTCAGGCTGTTCAGGGTTAGGGTTTAGGGTTAGGGTTTAGGGTTCGGGAAGGCTTGGGACTCAGGGCTCAGGCCTCAGCTCAGGGTTTAGGATTCAGGTTGCAGGTGTCAGGGGCTTGGGATTTCAGGCGACTGAGCCCTGACACTGCACATAGAACAAAATGGGTGCTGTTTGCAGACATACAATGCCAGGGAGCCATGTCAAGAAACCTCCATATATATATATATACACATGTGTATATATATATATACACATACATATATATATATATATGTATACATATACACATACATATAACAAATACATATACATATACATCTTGATATATATATATACACATATATATATATACATTATATATATATATATATATGTATGTGTGTGTGCATCAGACCTTGATCACATGCAGACTCTTGTATCGTAAATGTCTGTATGTGTATGCATTGCGTGACACCTGAACCATACGCTCCTTCTGGGTTCATGTGCTCCTCATGGTCGTTAGGGCCTCATGGTATGTGTCAGGCATGAGAAACGGGCTTTAGAATGAACAGTCGGCGAATAGACCGTGCGAGTCCCATCCTTGCTGTTTGCCCGCGTTCACCCCGGACACCCGAGTCCAAAGGAGCAATCCCAAGAGTCGAGTACGGACCGTATGATACACAAGTGTAGATGCATGTGATGCTGCTTGGCGCTAAAGGCCTAGCCCGACGATTTTTGGTTGGCAGCACGACACCTGCGTGTTACCTGGCTTCGGGTATCGTCCTAGTCTACTAGTGGTATTAGAGCCAGGAGGCCTAAACTTGAGTAGGATTTGAACAATGTCGTGCAAGGCATTGCAATTGCAAGTGTATCCGAGTAGAACCCGAAGAGGTTTTGGGTTCCAAACCCGCTTGATGTATATTTGGGAGGGAAACAATAAATCAAGGCCTCTACCTGATCATCCCAACCCGGACAAGAAAGAAAGGAACCTCAAACCTTGAGTCCCAGTCCTAGAACCCGAACTCCAACACAAAAAGAAGGCCACGGTCTTTGGGGCTTGAGGGTTGTCAGGAATACTGTAGGGCTCCAGGTTTCGAAGCGATTCGGATCTTCAGGCTCCGAGTAGGGCCCCTAAGCCTTGAGACATCCGAGAAGTTCTCCATGGGAAGCGAGCGACGGGTCGATGGATCCCATGGGACATGCCCGCCATCCGGCACCTGTCACTATGCTTGATTGAGGCTCAGGATTTCGAGGCTGTGCGAAACCAAACCGTAATCTCTATACCCGCACGTCCTGCACTGAGCCTCGTGGTTTCCTGTTTGCAGATTGTCAGCCCGGGGGCTCGGGGTGTGGAGTGCGAAGCTATAGGCCCGGGTAAACAAGTTGTGCTGAGGAAAACAAGAATGGATTCAGCAGCTCCAATCCTAAACCCAACGACGGCCACCAAGCCTTAGGTACTTGAGCTCACTGAGGTGCTGCTTTTCAAGCTTGTCTGCAAGCCGGTATTCCAAGCTGCTTACAAGGTTTCCTGCATTGTCACCGCCTTCCTCAGGATTATCAGGGGGATCTGTGAAACCTTTCATAGTGAGATCCAGAAAAAACCCGGCGGGGCGCCCAAACGAGGCGGTTCTCGGCAGCCGACAAGCCCCGCGCCAGCAGAAACGTATGGGTCATCACCTGCCGGATGGAGATCTCCAAAAAAATCTACCACAAATGGGCAGTGTCTTTCCCATCGGTACACAGGCCAACATGCATGTACGGATGCAAGGATTGCTGGATGGGATGATGGCTGCATGGCTCTATGGATGCCGTGCATGCACGTATATGTATATTTTATGCCTGCATGCATGCGTGCGTATGTGTGCACGTCTCCGTCCGTCCGTCCGTCGGTCGGTCGGTCGGTCGGTCTATCTCTGTCTCTCTCTGTCTGCCTGTCTCTGTCTCTGTCTCTGCCTCTGCCTCTATCTCTGTCTCTGTCCATCCGCGCGTCTGTCTGTCTGTCTGTCTGTCTGTCTGTCTGTCTGTCTGTCTGTCTGTCTGTCTGTGTCTGTCTGTCTGTCGCCCTGTCTCTCTGTCTCTCAGTCTCTGTGTCTCTGTCTCTGTCTGTCCGTGTCTGCCCGTCTCTGTCCGTGTCTGTCTGCGTCTGTCTGCGTCTGTCCGTGTCTGTCTGCGTCTGTCTGGGTGTGTCTGCGTCTGTCTGTGTCTGTGTCTGTCTGTGTCTGTCTGTGTCTGTCTGCGGCTGTCTGTGTCTGTCTGTGTCTGTCTGTGTCTGTCTGTGTCTGTCTGTGTCTGTCTGTCTGTCTGTCTGTCTGTCTGTCTGTCCGTCTGTCTGTCTGTCTGCGTCTTCCTCTGTCTGTCTGTCTGTCTGTCTGTCTGTCTGTCTGTCACTCTCTGTCTCTGTCTGTCTCTGTCTTTCTCTGTTTGTCCCTGTCTTTCCCTGTCTGTCTCTTTGTCTGTCTCTCTGTCTGTCTTTCTGTCTGTCTCCCTGTCTGAGTCTGTCTCTGTCTCTGTCTCTGTTTGTGTGTCTGTTTGTATGTCTCTGTCTGTGTGTCTCTGTTTGTGTATCTCTGTCTGTCTGTCTGTCTGTCTGTCTGTCTGTCTGTCTGTCTGTCTGTCTGTCTGTCTGTCTGTCTGTGTGTGTGTGTGTGTGTGGGTGCGCGCGCGCGCGGGTGTGTGTGTGTGTGTGTGTCTCTGTCTGTCTGTCTGTCTCCGCCTGTCCGTCTCTGTCTGCCAGCCTCTATCTCTGTCTGTCTGCCTGCCTGGCTGGCTGTCTGTCTACGGTTTCTCTGTCTGTCTCTCTCTCTCTCTCTCGCTCTCTCCCCTCTCTCTCTCTGTCTCTCTCTCTTTCTCTGTCTCTGTGTCTTTCTGTCTCTCTTTCTGTCTTTCTGTGTCTTCGCCCGTCTGCCTGTCTTCTTCCCCAGGGCATGAGGGGTCGGTTAGACCCCCCGGCCAGTTGGCCCCCCAAATTTCATGGGGTTTCAGGGGGTGTGAGAACTGCCTGTCTCCGTCTGTCTGTCTGTCTGTCTGTCTGTCTGTCTGTCTGTCTGTCTGTCTGTCTGTCTGTCTGTCGCTGTCTCTCTGTCTCTCTGTCTCTCTGTCTCTTTCTCTCTGTCTCTGTCTCTCTGTCTCTGTCTCTCTCTCTGCCTGCCTGCCTGCCTGCCTGCCGCGTGTCTGTCTGTCTGGATGGAAGCATGCATGCATGCATGTCCAGATCGGTCTAGGCGCAGCTAGGAAGGGAAACAGAATGGAATCCTTGGTGCCAAAGACGTTGAACCAGGGCGTCACTTCCTGCTACAGAGTTTTCAGGTTTAGGATGCAGAGATTTAGGGTTGAGGGTTGTTTGGGGTGTCAAGTGTAGGCTCCAGGGTCGAGGCTTTCGGGCTTAGAATTTGGGCTGCGGCTTTCTGAAAAACTGAGGGAGGCGTGGGGCAGAGGGTCAACAGGCGTACGATCCTTGCCTGTAGCTGTACCTAAGCATTCAAAGGTTGCGTTACACACACAAAAATCCTTCGGCCCTAGTATAAACCAGTAGAGTCAATCCATGTTCTTCTTTCTGGGGTTCACTATAACCCCAAAATCCCGCACACTCCATCGCGCATCAAACCTCAAAGCACTACGGGCAACAAAGCTCTTCGCTTTGCACACCTCCCAATTTGTAAAGACGCGCGAAAAACATCTCTGGATTTGCGTGAGCCCTGCGAGCACGGAGGGTTCCTGCCATGCACAGAAAGCACCAGATCAAGACAAGGACTACATTCTCTGCTCTTTCAACCCGAATTCCAGACAAGTTTGCTTTCTTGTCCCCTTGACAGTCTGATCGCTTCCTCGGCGTCATTCCCAGGCATGGCAACCAGAAACGGCCAGATCGTGCCAGAGAGACCAAGGGCTGCCGCGACCTGCTGGCGTCAACTCTGCAGCCATGGAAACTTGCCCCTGGCTGCCGTACTGTTGATGATAGAAATCCTGAATTACCTTTATTCGGGACCCTATACTCCTTACTTCGGATAATGCAGGATTTATATCATCACTCACGGAGAAGATAAGTCGGGAGCAAGCAATCAGATGAACCCGACCTGGGACGACACACCGGGAGTACCACTGGCACCCTCGGTGGAGACGGAGTTCATGCTGGCAGCCACAATGGCACCAGCTGATTCCTTGCTTGCTTGCTGTCGGTGAAGCCTGTGAAATCCCTGAAATAATATACGCGTCGGAATAGTTTGCAATGCTTTCCCGTTATATATAATCTCATATTCTTCTTATTGGTGTTGTACAACAGACCGCAGAAGCCTACTTTGAGAAAATAAAATCGCGATACCCAAACAAAAACAGCCGAGGTCCGGCAAACCGCTCACATCAAGACTCAGACGAGGGCTTAGGGTTTAAGATCTCATGCTGTGCACCTGCAGGCCCACGGTTTGTACCCTTTTAAAAATAAAAAGAAACCCCAAAACCTCGGAATTGAAATCGGAGCCTCAAGAAGCGGGCTGCACCTCCCATTGATTTGGTGCCAACCCCGCGTTCTGATTTTATACTACTGCTTGTCAATTGAAGCTGGTACATTTCCGGGACCCTCACATCGCCCCTGCATCACTGGTAGATGAAGACCCTCCAACAGGTGCCAGTTTTGGAACCCCTAAACGATGCCTCATACAATTCCAAGGCTCCCCCCATACAGCGATGTGGGCAGCATCGACACCGAAGCGCTCTGCGTTCTTCCGGACGAAGCGCACAGCGGCTTTGGCATTGTGCACTGCGTCCCGCACGGCTTGGTTCCTCGGTTATCTGGGGGTCGCCAAAAAAGGGGTTCTCTTAGTTGCACCGTTCACTCCTAAGAGGGAGCCCTCCCAAAAATGGGTTAAGAAAAAACTCTACTTGGCTGGTCCCGCACAACATACATTAAAGCAAGGACACGACTGCACAGGAGCTGTTCTTGACGACGTCCCCATAACACTCGAGGCTTTCAGGGCTTAAGTACAACTAGGCTTCGAAGCAGCTGAATTGAGGCTTCGATCAGTCGTGATCCCGAGAATCACCAACATAAGGGTTTACGAAGACCCTACTTCCGATTTTCAAGTCTAACCCAAACCATTGCGGCCCTACCCCCCAAACCGAGAACCACAACAACTCTACAGGACATGCCTTGAAATTTGAACCCCGAATCCTAAACCTCGCTGCCTAAACCCTAAAAATTTTGCCAGCCTCCAATCCAGATCATCAATCTCTCTACACCCAAGGAAGATCCGACTGAGAGAAGCCCGGGTGGCTCGGCGAGGTAGTTGTCGGACTCCTGGGTCACGGCTTAGGGTTCAGGGCAGGTAGGGTACTTGGGGGTGTTTTGGGGGCTTAGTTTTTTAGGGGTTTAGGGGTTTAGTTTAGGGTACTTAGGGGTTTCGGGTTTAGGGGGGGGGGGGTTGCGGTTTTCGGGTTGAGGGTTCAAGGGGTTCAGTTGTCATTTTCGGTCTGGGGTCCCGGGGTTGACGGTGGCTGAGCAGGCAGAGAGAACCGGTAACAGCAAGGAAGAGGAAGAGGAACGAGCCAAACTAACATTGAACTAACACGCCATACAATTGTGCAAATATCGCAAGCAGTTCGTAAATTTCATTACAACTTTTCAGTATGCATAACAGCTATTCAGGGCCGAGGTACCAGCTGGTAGTCGATACTGAAGGCCACGAAGCCCGAACTCGCAAAGAAGTAGGCCTCATCCACGACAGGGCCTTCGCTCTTGCTACCAGCCATGAAGTTCCCGCCGTGAATCCTTGGCTGATGCGGGGTTCCGATGCTCCGACCCGGAACCGAAAGAGGGCTAGGCTAAGACCCCCCCCCTTTGAACCCTAATTTCTGGAATCTCTTCCTTCCAACGCACAACCGTGTGGAACAACATCCCCTTCACCCGAAGCCCGAACACCCTACAGAGCTCACGACTTCCCAAAGTGGGGGACATCTGCACAACTCCAAACCCTAGAACTGCAAGCACCTCAGACCAAGAAAAGTAAGAGGAAAAAATAATGTGAGAATAATGCCAATGTTGCCTGTAACAACCCCTTGCTATGATAGAACAAAGCTGAAAAAGAACTTCTGAGCAATACCCAGAGAATACGATCCCAGCATCATGACGATTGCTGGAGATGTCCCATTGTCCAGGGGCTTCTCGGCAGCGTAGACATCCAAGAGGAGCTCGCTGCCAGCTGCCTTTTGTGTGCGGTTTGGGTTCGGGATTTAGGGTTGGGGTTGAGGTGCTTCAAGGGGCTCCTTGCAGAAGTTTAGTCCTTCGGAGCTATGAGCTATGACCTATGCCTGTAGGAGTTTGCAACGTGGTGAAGGGCAAATGTTGCAAGATGTTGCAAGTGTATGCAGGACACAGCCCCTACGGTGCCTGCCTGGCCATAGACAACGTCGCGCGTCAAACGAAATACGTCCGCGGAGATGTTCTCCTTGCAGAAGCACGCCGCGCAAGCCTGAGGAAGGGCTTCAAGCAGGGGTTGGAATCCCCGGACCCGGAACCTGTGTGACTCTGACCTTCGGGATGTAGACCCCAATGCATGAGAGTGTGTATGTGTGCATGTGTCTCGGGGACTGGTAGCACTAAAACGCTCGACCCGCTTCTTTCAACTCAACTCCGTGTACGAAGGCCCTCCTCCCGAACAGGCACTAATCGTCCCGACCTGTTTCTATGAGTTATGTACATCGTCTTGCCGGTCTTCTTGAACAGTCTCGACTGTGAACTCTGGTTGTGAAACTCGGAAAGGCTTGGATTCCCACCACCCATCACATAGTCCCTAGTAGTCCCTATATGCCTGGCGAGGGCTTGTGTTTAGATATGCCTGTGAGCTAAACCAACTCACGGTATCAAAAGAGCTTAATAGGTGCTGGGGCGGGTTGGGTTCCATGTACTGCAACATTATACACAATGCTTGCCACGATGACCGTACAGGTTTTATATGTCCAGTATGACCACTGTAAACATGATGCTCGATCGTATCTTGCTGCTATGGCAGTCATAGCCCAAAGCCTGGGAACTTGGCAAGAAACCCATGTCTTCAGCCAACATAGTCAGGAGAGAATGTTATTCGGCATGAACCCTAAATTCAGAGCCTTCACAAGGACCCCGTAAAATGCTTGGCAAAACTCTCTTCACTTCCGCCCCATCCTGGCCTGAAAGGAGGCTAGGCTGTGACCCGGTGGGAAGGCGTGAATCATCAGGAAGACCGCCGTGCAGCCCACCTTTAAGCAGTTTAGGGCCTTTTAGGGCTTTAGTTTTGAGGCTTTCGGGATTGGTTTGTCTGTGCTACGTATGAAGACTTATGCTCTTAGATCCAAGTTTGAAGTATGGACTTTGCCATCGGGGCCTGAGCTTCTCGGAACATATGGAGTTAAAGATAGAGCTTCAGGGCTACAGTGCCAGTCGTGCACTGGAAGCCTACAGGACTATCGCCTATGAAACCATCACGGCGCCCATTGATGGACGGCCCGCGATTTGGGATTCGAAGCGGCTTGACAGCTTCATAGCGACCAAGTAGCCAGGCAACTGCAGCAGATTGCTCCTGGCTTTCGGACTCATGGTTTGGCCTTGGGGTTTTCTGGCTCAGGTCTCAGCTCCAGGCTTTGGGGCCGGGCGGAATCGTTTGACGGTGCGCTTGTGGTAAGGAAAACAAAAACTGTAGGGACATATAATCCGCCGACCCCTGCTGGGGCG